TTCGAGGAACAATTATATGCAGATGACAGTAGTAACGTTAATTTTTTTTTAAATTGAAAAAAGTTCCCCCACCTTTCAATTTTTATTTTTTCTTATATTGCTCAATGAGGTATTTTCATGAATAATGATAATGATCAACGATCATGTGATGGATAAGAAATGCTTTTCAATTACTTTGAGCCTATTTGTTTACATAACTATAACCTCTCAATCACTGATCTGTATATATTATATCTTTGCTCTCAAAAAAAAACAAAAAACAAAGCCATTATTCCGTTATTAATCGATCAATTATATTTATCTATCACGTGACGTTTTTAAAAAGTTTTCCGGCTCATTAAAATACCTCATTTGTTTAACAATTTAAATTTCACACTGACTTTTTATGTAATATTCTAGGCTGCTTTTAACCACATTTCTGTCAACTGTCTGTTTCTATTTGTTTATAAGAAAAAATCATTTACAGATGGTAGTTAACTTTTTTATTTTTATTGATCCCAGCTTAAACAGTGGAAACTCGCTCCAACATGTGGCTAGTTTAGTAAAAATAATTATTTTATTATTGATGTATTTTATTTTCTGTTTCAGGTGCAAACATAAAATATATATATTCTGGAGTATTTTATAACATTTTGGAATATTGTAGATTAATTACCTCGTTTTCAGTGCAAGATTGCAAGTCATCCAGAAAAGACATTTTGTCACTTCAATAAAATGTCTTATAGATATTCCAGAAATAGTATAAAATCAAACAGGTGTATCTGGATAGAAAATCTACCCTATTCTTCCAAAAATAAAAGAAATCTAAAGATTCCATCTGTTGAAAAACTAACCAATCTCACGCGGATGCTGACAAACCGTCAAATTCTTGGAAACTTTTTTTTTTGTTCAATAGCGAGAAACGGCGACTGGATCAAATCAAGATTATGATTGCAGATATAAAAAAGCTTTGGAAGGAAGTTCTAGACTTTCTACTGTTATCCAGCGCACTCATAAGAAAGAAGCTCAACAGTCTGATGGATTTATTTAACAAAAACAAAAAGAAACCATCTGAAAAATTCACTGCAAAACTTTCTCAGTTTTTTGATGTCACCAACGTTAATGGAGAATGGAAAAACACGGAAGATAAAAAGCTCTACCAGAGGCAAGTTGAGAGTGGAGGAAAGATTGGTTTTTCAATGGTCAAACAAGCTCCACTGGAATCAATCCACCCAAGAAAACAAATCCAACTATCAAAAACTCAATCCCAAGCCAGCTCTTCTCAATTGCATCCCACACAAACACATAAAACTGTCTCAGATTCTTCGGATTCTGAAACTTCTGTTTTCTCACCGGATTCGCAAACCTCTTCTTCTACGTCATCTCCTGAATGCAAACCGAAATACCAAAAAGCCAGCACTACAGCAGCTGGTTTACTAGTGTTGAAAAACAACATTTCTACACAAAAAGCACATGACGTTCTTGCAACCATTGCTAAACAAGGCCATGATGTGCCGGTTCCAAGTCAGGCGGGTGTCTAAAAAAGAGTAATCTTTGAAGGACAGAAAATGAAAACCAAAATTGCTCAAAAATTTAAGGGCAAAGATTCATATTGTCTCCAGTTTGATGGTAAAAGAGTGCATGGGGAAGAATACCAAGTAGTTCTGCTGAAAAATATGACTACCGAAATCAAATTCGGTATTCTTAAGTGTGAGAGTGGTTCTGCTGCGGCCATTCACAAGGAACTACATCAGCTAATTGATGAATACAATGCTTGGGAAAATATTTGTATGATAATCTGTGACACGACTGCAGTAAATACTGGTCGTCTGCATGGGATTGTAAAGCTAATACAAGATGATGTTTTGAGCAAGGGCTTTCAGAAACCACAATATATTGGCTGTCAGCACCATGTTCTCGACCTCCTTCTGAAACATGTCATGAATTTTTTTATTCAAGAGCCAACGAGCAAACCAGAACCCAATTATTCCTTCATTGATAAATTAATAGTGAATTATGTTTCTCTTCAGTATGATTACCGCCTATATGTGACAGATGATGTTAACACAGGCAAAAACCCTGCATGGCGAGATGATTTCAAGTTCTTATATGAACTATGTCAAGCGTATCGTCATTACAAAACAACTTCACGCTGGCCTCGAATAAACTGGAAGAAACTCCCAAATGTACACCAAGCAAGATGGAACTCACGTGCAATATATGCTGTTATAGCATTATTCCTGATGCCAGAGTGCCGCACCACCCTTGTTCTAGCATGCGACTTCATCTGCTACGAATGGGCAAATGCTTGGTTCCATTCGCAACACTACAATGAAGCATCCTTCTATGAACTATTAACCTCACTCATCAAGATAAAATGCAAGAAAGCAATTAAGTGTTTAAAGACACATTAATCAATCGAGGAGTCATTCATTGATATTCCCAGATCTAACCAAATTGCTGAACGTGCGGTAAAACTGATGGAGAAACTTCATTAAGAATCAAAAAAATTTTTGAATTTGAAGTTCCTTGGAAAATATAACTTTTAAACATTTCATGTATATTTTGTACATATTACTAATGTTCTCCATCTTATTTGTTCTTAAAAGTTGCTTAGATAAGCTATTACTTTTATTATTTTGGATAAAGCTAAAAAACATGTCCTTTTTTGAAAAAAAACATTTTTTCATTTTTCTTTTCCTGTGTGAGTGGGGGAACTTTTTAAAAAAACATCAAAAATGCAATTTATATTCATGAATTACACATAAAGTTTCCTTGCTTGCAAGTGGTTTCATAAACAAAATTTTTTTGTTATAACCCTAGTGGCCGCAGACAATTTCAAAAAAAGTTGTTTCAAGAGCCACCCTAGTAACTAGTTTAAGACCAATTAATTAATATGGAAACTGTTTAGACAATAATACAGTTCGAATTCTGTTTAGACAATAATACAGTTCGAATATTGGTAAGGTTTTTACTTAGGGTAGTTTTTTTAGGATAGTTTTAAATTTCATTAATTAATCCTTTACTTTAAAAAATATTTTTAAGTGAGTTGCCATGTTGAATTGTTTTGAAAAAAAATAAAGTTGATTTTTTTTTTACAATTAAGGAAAATCTTAACATCTTATATTATTTTTACAGTGAAGAAAAATTTTAACATCTTATATTATTTTTACAATTAAGAAAAATCCTAACATCTTATATTGTTTTTTAACATCTTAACATCTTATATTATTTTTACAATGAAGAAAAATCTTAACATCTTATATTATTTTTACAATTAAGAAAAATCCTAACATCTTATATTGTTTTTTAACATCTTATAAACTTGGTTTTATTTAAATTCTTATAAGTTGATTTTAAATTGGAAACCATTTATTTCATGATTTTTTTAAACTCTATTTGTAAAAATGCAGTTATTATTAAAGTTTTATTAAACTTTCTAATCTTATTATTGATTACTAGCAGTAAGCAACCCGTAATACGCATTGTTAGTAAATAAAATTAAAAAAAAAAAACGCGTATAGAAAAGCCTAGAAACTACTTTAAAATAGAAAAACCCCAGATTATTGAGATTTCCTGCAGTGTGGAAAAAAATAGCCAATTAATGGTCAACAAATTAATTCTAAAATTTATTTTAATTTTACATTTCTTTTAAATGTAAACTGTTGTTTGGTAAATCTTATCTTTAAATTTTTTTAAAACTTACTACTTTTTAATTTATAATATAATTTTCTATTTTAGATGTTCTCATATATGACAATAGTGGTGTACTTCTAACGAATGACCAGATACTTAACAGTCAAATACAAATGGATTCTTTCTCTCCTTGGACAATTATAAATAAAACCTACACATTTTCATCAATAGTCAGGGTAACTGTTTTAATTTTCTTTGATGTTTATATTAAACTTTCTCTATAGTTTTATTTTTAATTCATTTGTTGTTTTTTATTTGCGTAAATAAATTGTTTATTTTTAAAGGTTTTCACAAATACTATGTAATATTGAGCAGCCAGTCAATCTCAATGAAATGCAATTTTAAGCCTGTATTTCCCTGAGATTTACTTTTTTTTATTAATTATGATAATGTTGATAACTTTGATGATTGTTCAGATGTTTAGCTATTTATTTATTTTTTTTCTAGACAGTTGAGTTTATTGTGAATGCTGAAAAATGGCTAGCAGATGTTGCCATTGATGACTTATCTATTTATGCAAGTACGTTTACTGATTTTTTCCTAATTCATAATTTAGCTTCTAGAGCATTCTTTTTTTTTTTAATAGAATTTCATTTTATAAGTTTTTTAGCAAGTTTAACTTCAACTAACCACTAACACTGTTTCACTAACCCACTACCCTTGACACTGTTATATTAACCAACTAACCGACTGACGCTATTATATAAAGGATGTTACCCTTTTTGTTCTACTAAATCACTTTTGTATTAATCAGATGTTATTTATATTTTTATTGACTCCTACCATTTTATGTTTTCAGTTACACACTTCCAATTATTATATGTTTTTAGTTGGATGCGGTACATGTAGTATTAATGGTCTATGTCAGAATACAACAAATGGCCAGCAATGTGTTTGTCGAAATGGATATGTTGGTGATGGATACACATGTTTGCGTAAGCTTAACATTTTTTCAATCTATTTCTAATAAAATTTTCAAAAGACAAAGTATTAAGTTTAAGGGAAAATTAATTTTAAGTATTAGTGAGGGAAAATTGCTGGGAGTTCCCGCTCTTTCTGACTCAAAAGGAAAAACTCAAGCCAATGCAACATTGGGTTTCCTAGAAGCTTGGGATCTCAGCGACAATGTTGTGGCATTAGTATTTGATACCACGGCCAGTAACAGTGGCATCCACAATGGTGCTACTAAACTGATTAAAAGCTTAGGTAAAAAACTTCTTTATCTTGCTTGTCGACACCATATCTTGAAAATTTTCGTCGGAGCAGTTTGGAAATATTTTTGGACTAGAAAATAAGTTCTTCACTAAATTTAAAGCTTATTGGCTGACTTTGGATAAAGAGTTGCCAATTAAAACTTTAGAAATTGAAGGCACTGATGTGCTTTTCAATGATCTGCAGCTCATTTATGATATGATGAATTTCAAAGAAATAGAAAAGGAAGTTGCAGATGTTAATATTTCAAAAATGAACAATCACTGATCGTAGTTCACAGAAGAGGTAGTTCCATTTGCTTTCTTCAGTAAACATGTTTTATTCTCTGCTAAACTGGAGAAGGCTGCAAAACTCTCGGAAATTCCAGTGCTGGAGAGTTTTTGTCTTGGAAAAACGGTTTTTAGTAAAATCACTCATCAAACAGGTTTGGAAATACTTGACCTGAAAAATACTTGACCTGGGACCTGAATCTCACACATCATTAAGTATACTTGGTATCAACACAGACTGGCTTGCTAAACCAATTGACAAAGCATCCAGGTTACCAAGAAACTGAGAAATTTGTTTGTACGGTGAAGGTTGTTAATGATACTGCAGAGAGAAGAGAAATTGATTTCAGAATTTGCGACCATCATTACCAGTGATCCACAACAAAGAGCATGGCTGCTGCAGAATGTTGAAATTCACAGACAGTATCATCCTAATTTTGACAAAAAAATACTGGGACAATAAAAAAACTCATTGAGAAAACAATTTTCATTTTTTCAATATTTTTTATATTATTTAGTTCATAGCACAGAACAGCACTGAGTCAGACTGACAAATAAGTATATGATTTGCAAGCTGTCCATTGACTTGTTGATTTTATTTAAAATAATAACAGTAAATGGTACATATGTGACTTTTTTGTTGCTTTTTAACTGAAAATTACCATACTTTTAAAACAAAGAATGCTTGTCTTTGAGGATGTTGAGGGGGCTTTAGAATAGTTATTAAAGTTTGGTAAAAAATATTTTCACATATTACCTTAATAGTAGGATGGGAAAAACTTCAATCTCGGTGTTTTGAAAAATAATGTGAATAGTGGACTACCCTAATATATCTATATATATATATATCTATATATATATATCTATCTCTCTCTCTCTCTCTCTCTCTCTCTATATATATATATATATATATATATATATATATATATATATATATATATATATATATATATATATATATATATATATATATATATATATATATATATATATATATATATATATATATATAGATATATATATATATATATATATAGATATAGATATAGATATATACAAATCATTTTTATTTGCTCCCAAAACTACATAAAATTGCATTCAAAAACACTGTTCATATAAATTTCAGCACAGAAATTGTTATTTAGTACTTGGTTAAAGAACATTTACTATTCAAAAGTGTTTGTATTTACTATTGGAATAGAGTGAACCAGAGATGTGCAGTTGCCAGTCAGTTTAACATTTCTTGTCCATGAGTTAATAATCTCTTTTAATTATGCCTGGCTATGGTAAAATGTCAATACCCTCATAAGTCAGATACTGGGCAATTGTGAAACTGTTAATACTAATTGTTACAGACAACAAATATATTGAACCATGCGTTGATTGAAAAACAACCAAAATGGGCCAGAAGATAAAGTAAAGTAATTTTTCTACACAACAATGCTCCTGCAGGCAAATCATTTTGGCTACCTGTTATTTTCATTGTTACATTATTACAAAATAGTCAAAAATTAGTTGTATATATATATATATATATATATATATATATATATATATATATATATATATATGTATATATATATATATATATATATATATATATATATATTATTATTATTATTATTATTATATATAGTTTTATTAGGGTGTCCCAGAAAACTTTTTAATACAAAGCTGTGCACTATGGCAATCCTTCTTATTTGGTCCCAGTACACCACCATAAAAATCTCTGGCCATTAAAACTAATGGAAAAAGAATTCTTTATCTGTTGGGGTACCCTCTCCAGATATTTTCTCTAAATAGACTTCTAACCGGTGGGTAAGTTTATTGCAGAATTTACTGGATTAACCGAAGTATTGCAATTGCAATCAAAGCACTGTGATCAAAAAATGGATGTCCTCTGGCAAGTACAGGCAAGATTAAATGCAGTGGTGGTAAGTGTTATGCTGATAGCAGAAACAAAATATAAAATGTGTGCATAAGAGAGCTGGTTAACATTTGAAACAAGGCAGGTTTTGATGAAAATTTTATCATCAGTGAATGGTCGATTAAGTAAGCGACTAAATCTCTTGTCTTTAAAATTAAAGTTTCACATAATTATCTGTTAATAATTAACATATAATTATGTGAAACATAATCATCTGTTAAATATATTTACATATAAGTTTTTATGGTGTATTCAAAATTGTTTTAACTTTTTAATTTAGGACTAGAATCATTGCTCTGTATACCCAGTATTAGTTTCAAAGATGAGAACGCTAAAGTATAGCAAATAAACCATGAGCCAACACACTCAAGAGTTCTTAGACAAGTCCAATTTTTTGTTTTCTATACACAAGGAAAACATTTTTAAGTTAATTAGCCAGGATCCTAGAAGGAGTAAAGAGGCTGTAAAAGAGAATTTTTTTTTTTGAAGAGATGTTTGAAAGGGGACATTTTAGAAATGGGGCCAAAATAGTTAGTAACAACAAGTTTACATTTATTTAACAACAAGTATAGAACCAGTATACATTAAAATAAATCAATTGATCAGTTTTATTACACTAGACTGTATATCATTTTGATAACTTGCATCTTAAATGATAAATAAGGAGAGAAAAAGTTTAAATTATGAAAAATAAAACTTATTCCCCCCCCCCTCTCTCTCTCTCCTCATTCAACATGCACCATGAATCAACATAGTTTGTGTTTTGTATTATTAAACATAAAATATGGCCGTTGATTAGTTCAAAATGTCGCTTAATTCACAAGTTTATGTAGCACTTCAAATAAAAAATCCTTAGGGAAAAACATCATTTCCTTTAAAGTAAGACAACCAAATATTATATTAATTGTGTAGAATTTTTTATATCACAATATCCACTAGGTATTATCAATGACAATATCCAATAGATACAAGAAAAGAAGACATAGTTATCACAAGAAGCCTTTACAATTGCATCAATAAAAACTAGTCTTTGTTCCTTGGTTTTCTTGGATAATTTTTGTAGCATTTGTGGCAAAAAATTAGAATGTCATTATCCAGATTTTGGACTCATTAAGTATAATTTTTTTATTTAGCTTAATTGTTTAACTTTTATGAGAAATATGAGAATTATTATCTCCTTTGTTTTCAAAGAGTTTAATACGATGTTCGATGATACAACTTTAAAGTGTTATAAAACACCTGTCTTTTACTTACTTCGTTTTAATCATTAGTTTCTTCAAAAAAAAAATTCAGAAAATTAGTGTTCTTGTTATACTAGTTGGAAGGAACACATCATATCTTTAAGTGTCTTTTATTTAACCAAAGGTTTTATTGGGCTTATTTATTATTGTCAAGCCAAAGGCTTTGTTACGTGAGTTTGACCTGTAGGAAGTATAGTTAAATTTCACTTAACTGGCTAATTTTAAAAATGAACTTTAATCTCATAATTTTGAAACATTGTAAGCAACAAACCTTTTATTTACTGAGGTGCCTAAAAAGTTATAAATAAGAAGTTGGAAAGAAGAATTTGCAAAGCAAAATGGTAGATAAAGTCCTAAATGGTTTAGTTTACTTTTCACACAGAGTTATCAATACGTTATATTTTTTTATATTATCAATCTGGAAAATTAGTTAGGCTGTTTTGCAAATAAATAGTGTTAACTACTGTGGTAAATGTTAATTAAATAGAAAAACAGCCCTAACTATAGGTAATTTCTTGGTTTGATATGTTGAACCAAGTCATTCTAGAACATAATATTTTAGAAGGTTCTTGGTTGAACTTCTAAAAAAAAAACCTAATGTTATAAAAAAAACATCATATGTTAAATAAAATCGTTGAGTTGATTGTTATTATTCATACTAATGAACAAAATGCTTCAAAATGCTTTTTGTTTAACTTTTGTCTTAAAATATTTTATTTATTTTTAACTGCAAACATAAGTAGTAAAATAAAAAAGCAATTTTTTTACACATTTACTTTCTAATAAAAATGTATGCACTTTCCAAAAATTAGAATTTAATTTTGTTGTAATTCAATTTTGGGGCCCCTTTTTTTTGCGGGGCCCTTAGGCCATGACCTATTCGGCCTGCCTGTAAATCCGGCTATATATATATATATATATATATATATATATATATATATATATATATATATATATATATAGATATAGATATATATATATATATATATATATATATATATATATATATATATATATATATATATATATATATATATATATATATATATATATATATATATATATATATATATATATATATATATATATATATATATATATATAGATATAGATATAGATATATATATATATATATATATATATATATATATATATATATATATATATATATATATATATATATATATATATATATATATATATATATATAGATATATATATATATATCTATATATATATATATACATATATATATATATATATATATATATATATATATATATATGTATATATATATATATATATATATATATATATATATATGTATATATATATATATAGATATATATATATATCTATATATATATATATATATATATATATATATATATATATATATATATATATATATATCTATATCTATATCTATATATATATATATATATATATATATATATATATATATATATATATATATATATATATATATATATATATATATATATATATATATATATATATATATATATATATATATATATATCTATATCTATATCTATATATATATATATATATATATTAACTTTATTAATAAAAACTAGTATAGTGTTATCTATTAGTAAAATCAGTTCTTGTAAACAAAAGCAATTTAATTAGTTAAATGTGTTTATTTTTAAAAATTTTAAACAGATTTGGGAAGAAACTTTAGTTGAGCTGCGCAAAAATAGAACTGCGAAAAGAAAGAAAAATCAATAATAAAAGAAAACATAAAGAAACATCAAAAATTTGATTTTTTTTTTTTATTAAAAACAGAATGTCATGCTAATTCACTAGCTTCTGCTAATCTTGCAAACTGTGGCATACATAGATGAGTTTTTTCTGGAAATTCCCGGAATTCTGGAAATTCACTTAAAACAGCTTTCATTTTTCCAGAAATTTCTGGATGTTTTTTGATATTAATTTGAAAAAAAGTTAATATATTTTTACATAAAATTTTACATACAACAGCTTTTGCATTTAAACAAATATGTTTTCTATAATTAAAATTTTCACGAGATCAATTTTCGTAACAATTTTTTTTTTTGCTTTTTTTTTTTTTTTTTTTTGCTTTTTAATTCATTCAAACTTTTTCGAATATTAGAAATCCCTTTTTGTAAAAAGTTAAATAATCTAAATTCTGTTTGTTAGTTAAATGAGATAAATTATTAATTAAATAATTTTGTTGGGATTTTCTGGGATTATCATAGAAAAATAATTTTCGGGATTTTCATAAAGTCAAATACTCACCTATGGGCATAAGTAAAGAAGCAAAAATGTTGGATATTTTAGAGGTCTTAATTAATGAAACTCAAACTTTAAGCAAATAATTGGAACTTAATAAGGAGAGGGTTTCCCTATCCATTTGCCATTGAAAAGGAAAAGTGATCCAGGACTTTGGAAAAATCTTTCAGCTGAGGATATATAATTTTGGATAAAGAATAATCCGTTAAAATGTCAAAATGCAGATTATGACTTTAAATTCTCTAAAATGATGTATCAAGTTTGCGATTGATATTGCTCAAAAAGCTTGTTTGTGGGGAAAGAAGTAATTGGTGAAATGTTTAATATTGAATGGCTTATATATTCCCCAGCATTGGGTTGTGTATTCTGTTTTGTATGCAAGCTTTTTGAAGGCTCCAAATATGCTTTAGCTTTAACAAGATATAAAGATTAGAAAAATTCGGGGGCATCAGTTCAGGAGCATGAACGCTCATTAGACGACAGAGAAGCTTCCTTAGCATATTTTCACAGAGAAAATAGCAAAGTTTTTTAAATGATCAACTTCTAAACGAAATTCGCAAAGAAAAAATTGAGAGGTTCTAAGAAGAGTATTACAACAATAACAGCTGTAATTTGCACATTGAATGAAAAAAACTTAGATTTTTGAGGTTTAAATGAAAAATTCAGGTCTGAGAGCAACGGGAGTTTCATTGGTCTGCTTGCTTAAAACCAAACATATAAAAAATTGTGGTGACAGGGGTTCTGGAAAAAAAAACTATCCTCAAAGATCCTCAAAGAATACATGTGATGAATTAATTGTATTGATGGCAAGAAAAGTTTTGCAATCAATCAGTGACGGTGTTTTAAAATATAAGTATTATGTATTATCAGTAGATTCAATACCTGATGTGAGTCACAAAGATCAACTATGTGTGATCTTGAGGTACATTTATCAAATTTCTAATGAGTCTATTGCAAGATCTGTCAACTTCATCCCCATAGATAATCACACCAGGGAAAATTTAGCAATTGCAACCATAGACTTTTTAGATGTAAAATTGAACTTGGAAACCAGCATCTGCAGAACCCAGTCTTATAATAACTCAAGCAATATGACTGGAAAATATAAATGCATGAAAACTAGAATTTTAGAGTTTAATAAGCTAGCAAAATTCTTGCCACGTTCAGTCATTTAGCTGCTGTAGATTGCTGCATTGAGGGAATCAAGTTTTTGGTATTGTTCAAGAACTTTACAATTTTTTCTCTGCTTCTACAAAGTTATGGAGTGTTTTGGAACAGTTTGCAAGTTTTTGCAACAAATGAATGCTGTTTCCGAATCATTGTAATGTGCAATTATCACTCTAGAAACATGTGCTAAACTTTATTCATCTCTTGGTCATTATCTTCTTAGATTAATTAACACATTCAATTTAAGAGAATAAAATGCAAAATTACTGTTACCAAACATAGACTATTTACAAAAGAGGCGCCATAATAAGAAAGCGCTTTTAGGTGAAAACCAATCAAAAGAACCTCAATTTAGTCCATGTGAAGAGTTTAAGACAAACATTTTTTTAAAAACTATCAATAATCTTACTACAAATTTAAAAGAAAGATGCTATCAGGAGTTGAATGACAAATTTGTGTTTTAAATAGACACGAGATTCAATAAAGAAGATAACCGTCTTGGTGAAAGACTACACAGAAGACATTGATGATAATTTATATTCAGAAATTGAACATATACACCTGTATTTGATAGAACCTTTCAATACTCAAGTTCCTGAATGTTCCATTTGGATTTGTGCAAACTTATTAAAAAAAACAAATGGGGGCTACATTTCTAAATACTGAAATCATTCTTAGGATTTTCATATGTTTCATGATATCCAACTGCTCTGAAGAAATTTTCAAAATTAAAATTAACAAAAAATGATTTGCAATCAACTATGTCGCAAAAAATGTTAAACAATTTTGCAATATTATCAAGTAACGCAGACAAAATGAAGTCAATTAGTACAGATTCATTGATTAAGGATTTCGTTAATGAAAAATACAGAAAAAATATTGTTTAATTTTCAACAACAATTTAAAAAATTGAAACAAAAAGTTGAGATTATATTTTTAAAAAAAATTTAATTAAACTAAAATGATATTTTTTAAATTAACATTTTATTTCTAAAAATGTAGCCACAGATTTTTTTGGCCTAGGGCCAAATTAATATATATATATATATATATATATATATATATATATATATATATATATATATATATATATATATATATATATATATATATATATATATATATATATATATATATATATAATACATATATAATATATATATATAATATATATATTATATATAATATATATATATATAATATATATATTATATATAATATATATATTATATATATATATATATATATATATATATATATATATATATATATAAATATATATATATATATAAATATATATATATATATATATATATATATATTTAGGTTTTGTGTGTTTATAAATTTTATAAAATCTTCACCAAAAACAACTTAAAGGTAAGCTGCAGCTGTTTTCCTAACATCAAAATTATTATCACTGCTCACAATAAAAAAAATTTATATGGTACTAACACCTCTGGTACTAATACCTCAATCAACCAACAATTGCCAACTGCCAGCAAAATTTACAATGCCCTTTGGAAGGAAAATGCCTCCAAAAAATATACTATATTGCTGTAACGTAAAAGAAAACTTCACCACAAGATAGCAGATTCAATTATATTGGACTAACAGAGAATGTTTTTAAAGACTGTTGGTGCAAACGCAAAAACTTATTCCAGTACAAAAGCAAAGCTAATTCAACAGAGAATTAAAAAAAAGTTTATACAAATCCTATTATAACACTAAAAGTTATTAATAAAGTTCAACCATTTAAATTCGGAGGAAAATTATGCAACCTTTGCCAAAGTGAAAAGTATCACATAATAACATCAAAATTAAAATTATTAACTAAAATAAATAAGCTGGTATATATAATTAGTTATATAATTTAAATAAATGATTATCAAAGGTTACAAAAACTTGCCAGAAATATTAATGAAAATATGAAAATACTATTATAAATAATATTGTACCAATTTAAAATAATTTATTATAATTTAAAAAATATATATCTTCCAAAATATGAACTATTTTTTTTAGCAAACTGTCTTTCTCCATGTGATCCCATAAAAGCAACATGTGTTGTATCAATGGGGGTTGCATCATGCCAGTGTTTACCTCAATATGGTTCTGGATCAGGTCTTGCTAGCGCTGGAAATAGCTCATGTTCAAGTTAGTAGCTTTTGTGTGGTTTTTATCTGATATTCAATCAGTTATCTCACTTATTTATAATTTATTATCTTACTTATTATATTACTTGTTTATTAATTTATTATCTCACTTATTCCACTTACTTACAACTTATTTACTTTCATTTTTTTCAAAAACAACTACTCTAGAGCAGGCACACTAGAGTAGGTAATTATTTTATCAATGATTTTGTTGTGCCTATCAATTATTTATTTTGGTTTTCAAACACAATTTATTTAAAAGAATTATTTTTTTTAGAATAATTGATACGTTTTATTACAATAAAATAAAAAGGTTTTCATTACAGTATTTTAACCATTTTCCATTTACAAAGAATTTCATTTGAATGCATATTTTACATAAATCAGGCTTTCCCAGGAAAGGCGCGCGGTCGCACACCTTGTTTGTCCACGCATAGAATAAATTTTTCTGACTAACTGACCACGTTTTGTTATTATGTGTTTCAAAAATTTGCGCCAAAACAAAGCTAAACGAAAATACCGCAAAAATGCAAGCAATCTTAAAGTGAATAACAGAAATCTGTTTGTGCTTTAAAATTAAAAAATTAATGCATATTATTAAAAAAAAATATTTACCTATAATTTATTTATTTATTTAGGGTGGTAGTTATTTAAGCTATGAAAAATCAAATCAATAAGAAAAATCAAATCAAAAAGAAAAAGATTAATGCTTAAAGAAAATAAAAGGACTTTTTAATGTAAAATTTGTTTATGACTTTTATCAGTCAGTAATACTTTAAAATTCACGATAGAACTATAAACAATTTTTAAATGTTTCGTAAATACATTTAAATGTTTAATGTATTGATTTTAATGTTTGAATGTATTGATACGCAAGAAAACACGAAAACGATTGCTATTTATTAGTAAAATGTTTTTTTTTTTTTTTTTTTTTAATGAAAAAAAATGTTATTGTCAAACGATTGAGTTGCTTATTTTGCGATCATTAATTGACATTGTGAACGAGTGTTAATATATAATAATGTCCCGAAGGAACTGTTTTCGTAACAATGACAACAGAAGCAATGCAATTATTTTTTTAACTTCTTTCGTAATTACAAAATTATGCAATTGAATAATTTCAACGTAATAAAAGGCGAGCATTGACTCAGTAAAATCAGTTTATAATAAGTCGAGAACTTTTTTCACATTAAAATTTTGTTATGTTTAAAATCTCAAATAATATATTTAATAATTAAAACAGCAATTTATTTTCTTGTCTAAGTATTGGGGAATAAAGTCATTGCCTTTGCATAAACCTTAATAACGTGAAAACTAAATTAAATGAAAAAGTTTGACCAAATTTGTCTAGCGTAAATAATGAATCAATTTTTTAATACATTGTCTCATAAAGTTCGTGAATAAATTAGGTATCAAGTCTTTTTATTTTCGTAAAAACTTATGACTTATCGTCGTCTTTTCCTTGACTTGTATCAAATTTTGTAGCTGAAAATAGCAACCCTAATAAAAGAAAACAAAAACAGTATAAAATTTTGAAAAAAATGTTCAAGACTTTTTTTTTTGTTACAAGAATTTTTTTTTTTTAGTTTTTCTTTATTATCGAAATATTTTTCTTACATCCAATTTCAATTTTATACTTTGTTTAGACTTCGTTTCATTTTTTAAATATTATTTTTTATTCTCTATGGATAATTGCCGCTTTCTTACAAAATATTGCCGCGGTCACATTTTCTGAAAAATTTATTTTATGCGTGGACAAACAAGGCGTGCGACCGCACGCCTTTCCTGGGAAAGCCTGATAAATTAAATTTTAAAGTCAATTGTTTAAAGCCTTTTAATTTTATTTTGACATAAAAAAATTTCTTTAAAAAAATACCTTTATTCTTTATTTTTTTATTGGATAAATAATTCACAAATTTTGTGTGCAAATTTGGTAAACATTGAAGTATTAAAAAACTAAAGCAAAGATATTTAAAAAATTTCAAAAATAAAATAAAACTCTATTAAATGAAAATGCAAAAAATGTTTTTAATTTGATACTCCATTTTGAATAGTATTGTTTTGACAGTACTACCCATATTGAAAAGTCACTTAAATAAAACTGTATGTATAAAATCAGACATTTTAAGAACAGTTTTCAATACATTTATATTATTACATGTTTTATTATATAAATTATATTTTCTATATAAATTATTTTAAATGTACATACTTGTAAACACTGCATAATTAAACAACTGATATTTTCTCTGTTGTTGAATATTAGCAAGGTGCGCTTATTAAAATTTTACATTACCTTTAACTTTTAACTTGAATTTGTTTCACTTGAAAATAGCCAGTATATTTTGTACAGTTTTAATTTAAACTTAATTACATTAATTACTTTAATTATCAAACAGCTTTTTATTTTTAGACTTATTTGAATATGTAGGAACACTTTTTGTTTAACTTTTTTTTTTTGTATATTTATTTTAATATATATATATATTTTTTTTTTGTATATAACTTTCATTTTAAAGTCATAGATGTATTGGATTATTGAAAAAGTTATTTTTTTAGTAAACATGTGTGGTTCTACCCAGTGCAGTCCTTATGCTGATTGTGTTATGGATTCTGGAGTCCCAGTTTGTAAATGCCGACCTGGATTTGTATGTGGAGGTTGGTCATAATAAATTTTAACATTTTGCTTTTGAAAATACTTTGTTTTTAATAGATCAGCTGAGAGTTTGAATTTGGGCAGTTACTATCTAGATATGAAAGAATTTTATTATTATGCATTTTTATAATAATAAATTTTTTTATTAATCTAAAGAAATATACAAATATTTAATGAAAACTATAAAACTATATAATTTTAATCCCTTATTCCTGAATGGGTTTACATATTCAAAGTTTTATTTCAGTGTCAGTTATGATGTCTTCAAATATTGGCTGTTGTTGGTCCTTTTTTTATAAAGTTTTACTTTCACTTCATACTTTTATTAAATAAAAAAAATAATAATAGTTATAATCAAACAAATAGAAATATAGTTATATATTTTATATAATAAATATAGTTATATATTTTAAATAATAAATATAGTTATATAGTAACTGTATATTTTTACAGCTAACTGTGTCACGCAAGGTTTATGTTCAAATCGTGCTACTTGTTCAGTTGTCAATGGTCTTGAAACCTGTATCTGTGGCATGGAATATTTTGGTGATGGTTTGAATGCTCCTGGTAGCACTGGCTGCAAAAGTAAGTATTTTTAACTTATGATCCATTATAATTTTTTAAATAAATTTTGTCATAATTTTATATATTGGCATATATGCTTTAAATATCGTAATAACAACAAAAAGGAAAAAATCATTCAACACGACATTCCTGACTTACCGTGGAGTAAAGTTGGATCAGACATATATGAGTTGCATGGAAAATTCTATGTAATTGTTATAGGCTACTTTTCTAAATTTATAGAAAACAGTATCATTCCTGAAAAAACAGCATTTTCTGTAATCAATTTTATGAAAACCATTTTTACTCGTCACAGAATACCTTCGAGTCTCATTGCCGATAACAACCCCTACAACAGTGCAGAATTCCTTAATTTCTCAAAAGAATATGAGTTTAACTTCACTCCATCAAGTCCAAACTATCCCAATCAAATGGTCTCAGTGAAATGGGTGTAAAAATTATGAAGAAAATACTAAAAAAATGCAACAACCCTGAACTTGGTCTTCTAGAATACCTTAACATGCCTCTCACTGGAATAGACTACTCCCCATATATTTGCATTAGCTTTATATTTATGGTCTGCCATAAATGTTTTATATGTTACTCTATGTAAAAAAAAGTCATTCCATCCACACTATTATATTATCACCAAAATTTTAACCAGTGCTACCTATCAATGAAACGTGAATATGGCGCTTGGATATTAATGAGGGTGCTGAATGCAAGATGAAATACAGAATTGCAACTGGAGCAAGAAACAGTGTTTACTTTATCCAATGAATTTTATCACAACATTCGCTTCATCTCATCTATTAAGTGAAGGAGGAATTGGATCTTTTTGATTAGTTTAAGATTCACTACAATTCAAACCATGATTCTGTATTTTAATTTAAACCATGATTTTAAATTACATTTAAATTATATCTAAACAATTAATTTCATTAAATAGTTTTATATTTAGTTCTTATATTCTAATCTTATAATTGATTATGAACATTTTTATATATGTTTACATGTCAAAAACATAAAAAGACAGAACATATATACAGATATAAATATTAAATAGCAGTATTATTTGGTTCATAACTAATGAAATATACTGCAAAAATATTTATATTATTTTATGTTATTATTAAAATTTATAATAGTTTTATGTTTTAATTTTTTAATAAATAATGGTAAATGGTTTATTTATTATAATTTTATTTGTTTTATTTTTTTAATAAACAACAATAAGTAAATTTGTTCCTTATAATTCTATTTGTTTTATTTTTTAATAATAATAATAATAATAATATAATAAGTAAATAGTAATAAGTACCCTAGATTTCTCTTTTTTCAATAAAAATATGCTCTGAAAGTTGAAGTTTTTTGAATTTCTACTTAATTTTTTAAATTAATAAGCTGGAACCTTAATTAAACGAAACTATATCAAGCAACAATTATATTTATAATGAAAATGTTGTTAATTTTTCATTTTAAAAAGTGAAGTTTTTGTTTGGAATTAGAAACACATGTTTTTTGTCAAGTCTCATTCTTCTTCATAGTTTTCATTTTTTTGTGCAACTGCTATTGTGATTGTGATCATCTTTTTGTAAAAATCTTTTTGTAACTCTCTCGAGAACTTAACCTGTTTTTACTCCTCAAAAAAAAACGATGTAAAAAAGTGTTGTCTGATGCTAACCTCCATAATTCCCAAATCTTGTATTTTATCTCAGAGATTAGGCTTTAGAGACAAATTTTATTACCTCTCCCAAGGATAAAGCTGAACTATTTGCAAATAATCTTTCTTCCAATTTAAATCTTGAATCTTATGGCCATACTCTTCCTTCCATTCCAGTTAAACACTTAGGTATTTACTGCAAACAACTTTAACAATACTGTTAACATTTCTGTATTGATGAAAAGCAACCCTCTCATTGAGTTCTTTTCTTACATCTTCATGGATTATCATTCACCTCTAACCTCTAATGGAAACCATATATACAATTGATTAATAAATTAAAATCTGCTTAAATTGCTTCTTTTTATCTGCTTGTCATTTTCTTACTCCTGATTCCATTCTCTACCTTACAAATCTCTTGTTTGCCCCTGTATGGAATACTGTTGTCATATTTGGGCTGGTTTTTTTAATGATGCTCTTTTTCTTCTAGGCAAGGTCTAAAATTGCATTGTAAATGTATTTGGACCTGCTCTATCTGCCAAGCTTGAGCATCTCTCCCATTGTCATAAAATTGAATTTTGTTCTCTCTTTTACCAACACTATCACATTTTCTGCTCAAAGCTATTATTTCTATTTCCATCAACCAAAGCTTATTCTCTCTTGACTTGTCATTCAGCAAATTGTCATTGTTTTACTGTATCTGTCCCTGCATGTTCCTAAAGCTTTTTTCTCTTGCACTTCACCTCTTTGCAACTCTCTCTTATCTTTATGTTTACCTGAACCGCACAATCTACTATTTTTCATGTTTTCTGTCAACTGTTTCCTTGCTCATTAAATCTTTTTTTTGTTTTTTAGTAATTCCTGACCTAATAATGGTAGCTTGCCCCTTTTTAAGAGTGAATTAGAGTAAAATAAAAATATAAAATGTGTAAATAATAAAACAACAGTCAATTTAAAAATTTTTTTTGACAAAAAATATTTTTCGAGGTGCCCCAAGACCCTTGAACATTTAAAGTGTCCCCAAAATATATTTAAAAAGTTTTCCTTAGAAGATGGCCAATATTGTATTTAATCAGCAAAATTATATAAATTTCAAAAAATTTAACTGTTTTTTAAAAAGCATATTTGAAAAATAATTTCAAAAATTATTAAAAACTTGTTAAAATGCACTCTTTTTAATGTTAGTTAAAAATCAATAGTTTAAATGAAATAAAATTTAAAATAATAATTTTTATGAGTAACAGTTAATATTATCAAAATTTTTTTTATAATTTTGCTTATTTCGAGTATTAGGTTGACCTACTTTTAAAGAACTTTTTTTTAATAATATCTTGGAGCACCTCTGAAAATATTTTTTGTTTAAAAAGTTATTAAGTTAAATGTTATTTTATTATGCAGAACACATTAGAGCTCGGACAAAGCAATTTTTAAAAATTGCACTTTTTTATTCACTCTGGTATGAATAATTGATTACAAGTAAAAACTTATTCTGGATAATAACTTTAATTACATATTTTCATAATATTTGTTATTCCAATATTTTTAATTTTTGTTTTGTAAATAATACGTATTTTAAGTATAAAGTTATGTAGGTAAGATTTTTGCTTATAGTTTTGGATTCTTTTAATAATAGTCAAATATTGTAATGGTCAACCTTATTAATCGTCTTGTATGAGCGTATTGAATCATACATTTTTTCTTTACTTTTTTATTTTTTTTTTTTGCACTTTTAGTTTCCTTTTTTTATTTTTGAATTTATTTTTTGTTTGTTTTTTATTATTATTAATATTTTTTTTTTGTTTCTGTTCATTTTAATTTTTACTCCAAAATTAATATATTGATTCAGCCTTGTTGTAGTAAGTTAAATATAAATAAAAAATAAAAAACCTATAAAAAATAATAATTAAATCAGAAAAAAACAACTAAGCAAAAATCATAAAAAACAATAAAAAACATCAACTTCATAAAAAACAAAGAGATACAACAACTACACAAAACTAAAACATAAAAAATAATGGTAAATAAAGCAATTAAACTTAATATAGACAAAATAACAAAATTATGTTAATAAAATATTTATAAAAAAAATTGTATAGATTTATTATTTATACTTTTCATTTTTTATATTTTCATATTCATTTTTATTGATATTTGTATTTTAAATAGCAAAAATGCTTCATTTGATAAAATTACTTCAAGAATACTTTTTGGGGATTTTATTCTTTTCCATTTACAAATCTATATAAGTTCCTATTTTCAAAAAAATTTACAAAATTTTGTTTAGTAAATTAAAAAAAAATAGGTTTCAAAAAGCAATTTAGTATTTCTACAAAAAAGGCACAAGGTAAAATCGATACATCATAATAAAATGCAAGTGGGTTACAGGTTAGCAAAAAGATCGAAGATTCATTGTATATAATGACAGAATATGTTATTACAGTTATACCTGGCAACAGTCCCTAATAGTCAATATGTTTTATTTTTTGTTTGTGTTTTTGCCAAAAGATGTAGTTTTTTATTTTTGTTGATTAATTTTATAGTTCTAATAGGATTAAACTCAAAGTTTTCTTATAAAAATTCTATAGCTGAAAAATATTAGTGAATTTTTTTTTATTCATTAATTTAGCCATTAACATAATACTTAATCTAAGCATCCCCCCCCCTCTTCTTCCTTCTCTTTTATTATGCTTTCTTCTCTTTTATTATGCATTCCAGCTAACAGTAACTGGAATGATATAGAAATTATTGCACATTGTCAATTTGCACATTGTCAAATCTACAAATTATTTTTTCAACTATAAAAAGTAATTATATGAATAAGATTAAAACAACATTTACACTTTTTTAATGAAATGAAGACCTCACTGGTCAAAGTGGTTCATGCCAGTTTTATTTCTAGAAATGAATTTCCTTAAAAACTGGTTTTTAAACATTTTGTTGTTGATGTTGTGTTGTTAATATGTTGCACACTAAAATCATGTATATTGACCTAAAACCCATGTAACTAGCTAGTAATCCATATAACTAGTTAGTAGTGCGCTAAAAAGAATCTGTGCTTACCACACATCCACAGCATAAGAACTTCATTTCAGGGCCAGATTCTGTTTTATAAAACATAAATAGTATTATGAGTGCTGCAAGAAGCTATTTTTTAAATTTACCCCAGATCTTGGGTCTATCACTCAAATATTTTCTGCAAACAGCCATGTTTGTGTTCAAGAAGTGAATTAAATTACCCATCATCCTTTTGCTCCTTCATTTAATACAAAACATGCAACTCTTAGGTGAAGTTATCTGCATGTTTTGTATTAAAGGTTTTTTTAGGTAAATAATAATTAAGAAGTCTTTTGTTGCTACAAAACTTGTTCAAAGTGAAAAAATCTTTTTACTTTCAAAAGGAATGTAAAAAGATATTTAAAAAATGATGCTCCTTACATGCCTGAGTTTGTAGAAGTTTTGTGGTAACTATGGCAACTCTTTGTGTTTAGTTATCTGGTATGTCTTTTATACATGCTTTGTGTATATAATTTGTTAAGTTATCTGGTGTGCCTTTTTCTTATAAATGTTGTGTGCATTATTGACCATAACGAATTTATAAAAAAAATTTTTTTTATAAGTTCTACTGAATATTCAATCCCATTTTTCTCAAAACCATACTTTAGTGAGATAGAACAACACAATATTGGCGGGAAAATAAACGTATATATATTTTTTTGTTTTGAGTTTTTATTCATATTATTTTGTTAATTATTATGTAATTGCTTATTTATGTACAAAAAGAAATTGTAAGTTTTTTTTAAGCAAAAAATTTTAAATGTAAATTAAAAGAACAAAAAACACAAAAAAAAAAAAAAAAGAGAAAAAAATAATCATCTAGCAGTTATTTTTTTTTTTTTTGTATTTTGATTTTTTTAATGATCTTTTTTTAAATAATTTGTAGTTAAATAGAATTTTTTATGTATGTTCTCATCTTCTCAAGATTGTAAATTTGTAAGTATCTAATTTTTTTAGGTAAGTGTGATTTACTTAATTGTGGGTTGTATGGTAGATGTGTTCTAAACTCTTCATATGCAGCCACTTGTCAGTGTAATGATAATTTTATGAACAATGGAACTTACTGTGTTGGTAAAAAAGTTTTTATTAATTTTCTTACAATTTGTAAAACAGTTTTAAATATATTTTATATGTTGTTGTCCAATTTATTGTTTGTTTTAGATATAAATGAATGTTTAACACCTGGTTGGTGCAGAGGTGCTAACACTTATTGTTCTAACAGTTTTGGAGGTTTTTCATGTGAGTGTATGAACAATTTTGCTCCAGATATGCAAACATCTGGGCGCAATCGTAGTTGCTCAAGTAAGAATTTATTTTTAATAGTCAAAATGTACTCATTTCAATTAAAAAACCTTTAAAAAAACACTTTTCATCTAATAGCAATAATACATATATAATATATACAATAATATGAATAATATGTTGTAGTGGTGTGGTGGTAGAGCGCTTGCTTCATAAACGAGTGGTTCCGAATTCGATCCCCACCACATCCCTGGTAGTACCGCGCTCAACTTGTTTCTCCGTGCAGCGGCCTTGTTTGTCAAGGTTCGTGTTTTCGGAGTTATAGAGTTGAGATAGGGTTATAACCACAAATAAGTAGCCTCCTAGTCTGTAGTGGCCTTCTTGGCCTTGAGGAGGTGAATTTAAATTAAAAATATATATATATAAATACAAATAAAAAATATATATATAAATATAAATAGAAATATATATATATATATATTAAAATAATATATAAATATACATATAATATATAAATATACATATAATATATCAGTATACAATATATATATATATATATATATATATATATATATATATATATATATATATATATATATATATATATATATATAACTACAAATTAAGTCGAGAAACTATTAGTGAGATGAACCCAAATAAAACCCAAGGACCTGATAATATCCATCCAATATTCTTACACAGCTGTCCATCAGAATGGGCAAAACCTTTAGCCATACTATTTCAGCAATCACTTGACCAAGGCGAAGTTCCTACTGCATGGAAAATAGCCAACATCACTCCTATATTCAAAAAAGGCTTGACCACCGAACCGAGCAACTATGGACCTATCAGTCTCACCTCTGTTACTTGCAAACTTCTAGAAAATATAGTAAGGTATAATATAGAAAATATAGTAAGCCATCTTAGCTCACCTCATTGACAATAATTTGATTGCACAAGAACAGCACGGTTTCATTCCCCGTAAGTCGTGCTCTACAAATCACCTTGAAACGATGGACTACTTAACAAAAGCATCTGCTAATCAATTATTTGTAGACTTGCTCTTCCTGGACTTCGCTAAGGCCTTTGACAAGGTTCACCACATGAGTCTAATCTTAAAACTAGAAGGATACAGGATCAACGATCAAATTCTGAAATGGGTGAAATCCTTTTTATGCAACCGTAAATAAAGAGTAATCCTAGGCGATGCTGTACCGGACTGGGCACCAGTCTCCAGTGGTATTCCTCAAGGGTCGTTATTGGGACCACTACTCTTCGTTATCTTTATAAATGACTTGCCAAATATAATTAGTTCAATCTGTAAAATATTTGCTGATGATACTGAACTGCTTGCCCCAATTTGACTTAATGAAGATCAGATTGTACTGTGTTCCAAAATGATATTGGCGCTATAACAGAATGGACAAGAACATGGTATATGAGGCTAAACATCTCTAAATGCAAAATTCTTTACATTGGTTGCTTGAACAAAAACCATACCTATACAATGCTTGATGTCGATAAGTTGATTCGACTTAATTTGGAGTCTAGCTCATCAGAACATGACTTAGGCATCATAATGAGCAATAACCTCAAACAAAACGCCCAGATTTGCACTGCTATTTCTAAAGCAAACAAGATGCTTGGGATGCTTAAAAAGACATTTGTTTCCCACAATGTAGAACTTTGGAAAAAATTATACATAGTGTATGTGCGTCCTCATCTTTAATTCTCTGCTTCAAGTTGGAACCCACATACGATTAGGTATATATATGTGTTGGAGAGAGTCCAAAGACGCGCTACTAAGATAGCCCACAATATAAAGCATGCACCTTATGAAAATAGATTAGGCATATTAGACTTGACCACCCTTGAAGAAAGACGTCACTGTAGTGACTTAATTCAACTTTTTAAAATCGAATCTGGAAAAGAAATAGTTAACTGGCACCACACCCCGATCGGTTCTGCGCCACGCCATGGACATAGAAGTCAACTGATCAAAGAGATAGTTAGAAATAATAACAATTAAAAAGCAACCTTTTTACAAACCGAGTTGTTAACAGCTGGAATAGCCTACCGGACGAGATTGTTAATGTTGGAAGCCTAAACGAATTCAAAAACCAGTTGGACAGGTTCCAACAAAACTGCCACTGTGCCATAAAGGCAACAATGTCATGTAACTTAAAGTTTTATGCCTATCAATAATCATCAACCATATCTATTCTTTAAATCAAGGAAAAACCGTTAAAAATACAAGATACAAAAAATAATAACAAAGCAATAGAATAAGTTCTGACATCAAAATAGAAACAAAACAAATTTGTTAATCAGTCGTGTGAAAATGGGCAAGAAGAAATTTTTTTCTTTGTCTGCACTTTAAAAATTATATCATTTTTTTAAAGGATTTGGGTTTTTGGAGAACAAAATTTCATAAATCTCATTTATGCATAATTTACAGGATTTTGTGGTAGGGTTATAAGAAATGCATCCTTTGATTATTTTCCATTTGACAACTGGGTTTAAATTTGCATTTTTTAGTTTCCATTTTTCCTTTTGCTACTTCAGTGTTATTTTTGTGCTTAAGAATATTGAAGCATTTCATTTGGTTTGCATATCTATTTTTAAATGGTGTTTCGCTTATACCCATGCTGAATTTATTGATAGAAGCGTGAATAGGATTATTAGACGTTACATTTGTTTGGTATACAATGTTTTTTATTTAGAATTGGTTTGATAAAGGGCAGGTATTCATATTAAGGCAGTTGCAGTTGGTTTTAGATAAAATTTTGTAGTTGTTTATAATGTGAAGGTTGTGTGCATTTAAAATAGATTTCATATACAGCATACAGCTGTAACTTATTTTTATTGTGTTTCTTTTAAAAATTTTAAGAAGTTTATGATTCATTTGGAAGTTTTTTTATCAAATAAGGTTAAAAAGCTTTTTCATTAGTGCTAACATTTTTACTGAAAGAAGTAAAAATGTTAGTTCTACGGTTTTACTTACTATGCATATACAGTTCTTGGTGTGAGGTAAATTTAAATTAGGGTGGTATGAAAGTTCGTAATTAAAGTTGGAATTTAGCAGTGCATCATTGTACATAGAAGTAGATCTTTGAAAAGTATTTTTACTCAACAAATTTGCAGACAACCTTAACTTAGTTGAATGGGGTAGTTGTTTTAAAATATTGGGTGGTTTTTTTGAATTAGCTGAATAAAGTTCAAAAAATTTTCAGGTTTGGAATATAGTTAAAAAGTATGGTCATTGAGATTTAATGTGACTTTCATATTGCACTGTATTGAAATAGTAAGATCATTTCTTTTGAATATATCAACAAAACCTTTTTTGATTTTTTTTCATTTGGGGTCCAGACATATTTTTAAAAATTGTTAATCCATCATCACGGAATAACACAAAATCATTTTTGATATAAAACATAAGGTTTGATTTGATTCCCACAAGTTTGCATGCTTCTGCACTATCAAATGCTCCCATTGAAACACGATTTTTAAATCCAAACTTGATCATCATTAAAGAGTAATGACTAACTTGAAACTTAATGATTTATTGTTAAGGTCAATAGTTAGATGCTGCTCAACAAAATTTATATCATTTTTAAGAAGTTTTTTAGTTATTGAAGGATAGAAATCAACAATATCAAAAAAAAGGAGTTTATAAAGATGTTTGCGACTGATACAATTGAACCAACTTGTGGTATCTTTTGTTGTTGTTTTTTTCACTGGTTGAAGTGGATTATGTTATGTGGAATACATATTATACATTCTAAAATAGAGAGATGTGAGGGTTTCATTACATATATCTACTTACTATCTAAAGGATTACATAAAAGGTAGTGCTACTACATCAACTAAGGGTTTGGATTGGGGTAGAAATCATTATTCTTTTTTCATTACATACATCTACCTCCTTTTATATATATATATATATATATATATATATATATATATATATATATATATATATATATATATATATATATATATATATATATATATATATATATATATATATATATATATATATGTATATATATATATATATATATATATATATATATATATATTTATATATATATATATATATATTACATTTTATATTTAATATTAACTTAATCCTCCTCATAAAATATTTATGTTTAAAATTTTATGTATTAATAATACATATTTTTAGTATTATAGATTAATAATTTTATTTTTCGAATTTTCAGTTAATCAACAATGTGCTCTTGGAAAGACATGTGACTGTAACAACATTATCAGTCCAATTACTGTTCCCCCAATTTCATTCTTTAACAATGTTAATGATGCAAACCAAAATATAGCACGTCAGTTTTTGGACATCTGGTCAAGCCAAAATGTGAAACTTTACTGTAAAAGTAAAGTTTTTTACAATTTTTATTTATATACACCTTTTGCAATATTAATGTATATCTTTGATCTAATATTTACAAGTGCTCACATTAAGTTATGAAATTTACTTTTTAAAAAATTATAATTTCAGTGGCAAAATGTAACCTTAAAATGCTTGAAGAATTGATTGCAAACATAACAGCTTACACAAGTCAAACAAATGTTATGATGAATAATGCAAATATGGCAATAATGGTAGTTAGGGACTTTATTAATTGCAATCCTTATGAAATGGTAGGTAGAAAATTTTGTAAAACAGAAAAATAGTTTGGCAATAAAAACAATAGTTCCATCTACATTCTTAATTTATGCATAATGATTAGTTACATTAGACTGACAATAAAGATTGACATTAAATTGGCTCAATGTTTTTTATCATAACAAAATACTAAAATTATTACTATCATTATTTTGTAAAATGGTAAATAAAACAATACTCAGATTTTTCTATAAACAATTAAAAATTGTTGGCATTTTGCCTGTATTGAAAAGTTTCAATGTTTTTAATTTCATCATTTTAATTTTTGCTCTTAAATTATGACTTTTTTAATTTATGCACTTTAAATATAAGTATAATTTATCTACTTTGTATTATAACCTAGATTTAATTTATGCACATTAAATTATGATTTTGTTTTTGTTATAATAATCTAATTACTAGAATAAAAATTTTAAAAATAGTATTTATTTCAAATTAATCTAAGTATGTGTTTTTATTTTGTTTTCAAATATTAAATTAAGCAAATTAGATTGATAAGTATTTTATACAATTAGCTTGATCCAGCATGGTGGAGTTTGTATAAAAAATTAAACGATCAACTTATAACCTTTAAACAAGTGAGCATTGATCTTGATATGAAAGTTATTCTGCTAAAACAGGAGAGTGCAAGATGCGAGGAAGTGAACTCAAGTAAGTTTATTTAATATTTTTATTTGAAATCATTTATGGCTGTGTTGATGCAGTAATTAGTTTGATAAAACAACATTGCGACAGACCTTTTTCAAATTGTTAACTCTAAAAAATAAAATATCATAAAACTGCTCTTTAAATTGTATTTTTATTTATTTTAGGATTTTTAAGTTTATAAATATTAATTCATGAAAAGTTTATCCATGTTAATCATTGATAAATAAGTCGACCACAAAAAAATTATGTGGAATGGCTATAATTGCATGCATAAAAAAAATTTCCGATCCTACAAACATAGATAGTGAGCGGTTATTTAAAATCAATTTGTATTACTATCAAAAGTCATATTTCGCTTTTTTTAAAGGAAAGACTAAAAATTTAAGTAATAATAGTTGCTTAAAAATTGCTGCAAAACAGTTTGTTCAAGTTTGCTCAAGTATTGTATTATCAAATGGTATTCAAAAAGTGATACCTCACTGTCTACATGTTCAATGTTCATCTAGGCTCATTAGTATCTTTTTAAATTCAGACAAAGAAACAATTGTGTTATATGATCAGGACAATGTTGAAATCTCTGACTTCAACTGGTATTCAATAATTATAATTATGTAACACAATTTTCGTTCCTTGATTCTAAGTGTTATACTTCAATTGCGTATGTCTATTCTAAGTGTTATATTTCAATTACTTATGTCTATTCTAAGTGTTATATTTCAATTGCTTATGTCTAAAGTATGTGAAAAAATGACTTCATTAAGCACAAACTTTGCTTACACGTCAACAGCACAAAGAAAACTCGATTTTTAGGAAAAAAGAACAATTTTTTTTTCATTTTTATCATTATGATCAAAAATGAAAAAAAAATTGGTAAAAACAAAAATTGCACAATGAATAGACAAACACAGTCGGAAACCAAAAAGGTTCAGAATAGTTTAGATATACGATTGTACTGTGAATCACACTCCGTAAGTAGCCCTTAAAACAAGGAAATTTTGTGAAACCTCTTTGAATACCCATGAGGAATGATACTATTTTATTATATAAGTCACCAATGACATCTCATCCGTAGTCATCACTTTAAAGCACTCAGCAACATATTGATACTGGTGTAGTCCTCTTTGAGATGCACAGAGTGGGCAATTGGGAGAGATGGCTAGTTGTTTCCATTGAGAAACAATACGACTTTGAGGCTCTGATGATAAACTGTCTATGAATAGGCACCATTCAATAAGATTGCATGCGATACCTTTAGTCTGGAATAGAGTGGGAACATTGTTGTAAAAGCACAGCCCGCCACACTGACTGAAAAAGTTGAAGAATCTTTGACGCCGCTTTCTCTGATCCGTGACTTGTATGCTATCATCGACCAAGTTCCACTGTTTGAGTCTCAGCATTTACTTTTGGAAGCCTGAGGTCCCTAATTAAATTGTTCACGTCTTTTTGGTTAGGAAGTACGGCTTTCTATCCCCAACTTAATCTGCAGAATTGTATATATATTTGTATATATAATTGTATATATTCCATATCTCCAGTATCTGCCTAACTATCTGATTTGCTGCGGTCCCCTGAAGATGGTCAATGCCACCTAGGATGAGTCAGAACAGGCAAATTGGGGCTGTGTGGTACTGGAGCAATGAAAGAAGGTATGTCCGAATAAACAATCTGATGGGCATTTATGCCGATGCAATAGTTATTTGGGTTTTTTCATGCAGAAGTAGCAGCGATCAGTCAGCTCTTGCCATATTTGTGGAATAGCAAACTTCACAGCTTGCTTCTCTCCTCAGTACCAAGCTGTAACATAGCAGATAATAATACTTAAGAATTATAATAGTTTTAGAATAGGAAATTTTAAAATATGAAACAATTTCAAAGTGGAACGTATTTGCCTACAGTACACGACTTATGACAAAACTTTGTAAATTACAACTCGTTGAAATGAACTAAGTATAAAGCAAATTAACTTTTTATTTTTTAAATAATAGAAATTGATTTTAATGCCATCTTTTCACCTGATTCAAGTTTGAAAGATAGTGATAAAAAAAAATAAAGATGGAGAAAAAAAATGAAAGACCGAAGAAAAAACTAGACAGTATTCATTCAGAACAAAACAAAGTAAATCAAATAAAGTTTAAAGTTTTTTGAAGTAAGTGTTGAGTTTATTTTTAAAAACCACTGATTAAAAATAAAAGTTTATTAAAAAGAGGGCAGCCAACGCTACTTACATAAAGGAGCGAAACTCTGATATAATATACCTATTTAAATATGGTTGATTGTAAATAGAGCTTTTAAATCTTGGATGGTTATCTTGCTAGTAATAATTTTACGATAAAAATACTCAGTCATGTTTTGTACCAGGTTAACATTCGGAAAAACATCCAGTTGTTAAAGTTTGCTTTACATTTTCCATAATATTGTTTTAATTAAAAAATGATAAATAGAAATATGTCTAAGCTACGCAAATGTGAAAATATGTGGAACATAAAATTTCAAAACTAGATAACTACATTATTATAAACTAAAGAAATTATTTTATCAATAAGCGCAATAAAAAAAATTATAAATAACTAAAAAAAAATTTTTTTTTTTTTTGAAATTGATTCGCTAAGTCATTTAACTCCGTAACGGCGCATTTGGTCAAGTTTTTTATAGCAACCATAAATTGCATTATCAGATCCTAGTTGCTAGTTGGTAAACATTTTCAGCAGTCCAGCAATTTATGTACAGTTTTTGTTAAAGAATTTCATAAATATTCTCAATTCATGACTTTAATACTATTGGTATCTTTTGTGCTCCAGCAAATTTGTGACTGATTAAGTATAGTGTGACGATGCTAAATCAGGTTGAAATTCGTTTTCATACCATCATTGCAGTGTTTTTAAATGCATGAGACCAACCGCTTGGTTACAAACTCGTTAAATTTTCGATTGGTATCTGGTTAACTTATTTTAACGTAGATATATTACTCACATTTTTTGGTAAAATAACAAGAATTTTTAGTTTATATTTTGTTACTTTGTTATTGTTATTGAGAAATTTACTCGTCCGAGTCATTTAAATAATAAGATTCATTTACAGTTATAAGCTTTTTGCTGTATGTGAGTTAAATAAAATTTGATTTTTTACAGTTTTGTAATAAGAATCTTTTTAGATGGAAGTTGCACTGCAGGATTTGTGTTTGGTTTTTTTCTTAGATATCACTTAGATACCACTGTTAACTAGAGGTATTTAATTAGAGGTACCACTGGGTATCAAACCTTAAGTGGTTTTCCTGATTCTCAGGATTAGAAATATCTATAAATAGTAGATCAGGAGCATACTTCTGCTAAGAAGTTTTCTTCAATCTGCTGCTAACGAATCTGATAAGCATTGGTTTGCTATAATTTGCTACTAACGACTTTTCGTTGATGTTTCCATAACTTTTACACAAATGTAATTTTAAATTTTATTTTTTTAATTTTAAAGTTTATTCACAGACTAGTTTTCTAGAAAAAAGGACAATGCTAATTATTTAAAAAGTTAAATAACTGATGTGTTAAGTGTTGGTGATAAGATGTGTCAGTTTTATTTTACATATGTTACAGATTATAAACATGTAATTTTTTCATTCTTAGATTGGTTCCGTAGATTATAAACATGTAATTTTTTCATTCTTAGATTGGTTCCGAAGAGCTCTAGAGTGGTTCTCGCCTGTTCAATATTAGTTATCATCGTGGTTAAACGTTTTACTTGTTGAACTTAATAAAGCATTACAATTAAGCCTTTTTTTAATCTTTATATTTCACATTCAAGCTTTTATGTGTGGATTTTTTTGTGTATAATTTTTATTGTAATTACTGTTGTTAATTCTAGCTTGTTTCTATATTTTACGGGATTTTTATATAATTATTAATTTTCTTAGCAACACGAATTACAAAGTTAAAGTAGTTTTAAACAAATCGATACGATAATTATCGATAAATCATTAAAAAAAAATAAAGAATTTGCTAAAATGGTTGTAATTAAAATGTATTATACAATTTATTTTGAAAAGTATAGATAATGAAGTTTAATCTAGTGCAAGAATTTTCTTTATTCCACTCTCCTTGACCCACCTAAAATGTTTTAATGAACATATAGTTAGCCGATAAATGCAACGTTAAGTTTTGCTCGTCGGTTTTATGCAACCATTGCTCGAAATATGCAACGTTGAGTTTTGCTTGTCGGTTACAAAGTGCATCAATATACTGTCCTGCAAAACATAAGCAACCAAATAAAAAAAAAAATATTTTTTCAACTTCAGTTACTGAATCCAGCAACTTTGCTTATAATAACAACTCTTTGAATGATAAGACTACTTGAAAATAAATGTTTTGTTTTTTTGTTGTTGTTGCTTATATTGGTATTTTAATCTAAAAATCTGGTGTTCCAAAACATTAGAAACTTTTATATAGCTACTCAAAAAAATATTAAAATCAATAGTTAATTGGCGTTTTCTAAAAACTAAGTTATACGTGTTTCCAGCCATTTTAAACCAAATCAGAGCAAATTCGTGAATAAGCTAACGTAACGATTGCTATACTCTATCTCAAGTTAATTACAGTTGCAGTGTATAAATTTTACAGTTATTTTGTAATTACAAATAGAGTAGAGCGGGGGATATAGGGACACTTAAGAAACAAATGCTAGTTGCGGATGAACTACCGTAGAAAGGGGTGACTTTGTTAGGATTTTGAGCATTTTTGCAAAATAAATCTGGTTCATTACAATTTTTTCTGATTTTTTTTTTCCCGTTATAACATTATACCTTTCCTTTATATAATTCCATTAAATATTTTTAATTTTTTTTTGTCTTAATATATATATTTTTAATCCAAAATGTTATCAATCTCACCCCGTCGTTTGGGGTGACTTTGATAGTCTATTATTTCTTAATGGCTTATTGATTTAACCCTCTTTACAGTGTCGCTAATACTTTCTTTTTGACTTTTACTAAATTAGAACACAACATATTAATAAACTTATAAGATTTACTGGTAAAATTATAAATTTAGACAACAAGTTTGGTTATCGAGTATATCTACAGAATGGACAAAGAAAAATCAAAAATAAATTTGATGTTAATATGCTAAACACAGAAAAATAATATATCAATAACATTGTTATAGTAATTAGCAGTTATAAAATAACACTAATAAAAAAATAATACTAATTGCATATAAATATTAAGTACTTATAATATCCTTTAGTTGTTAACTCAATTTAAAATTAAAAAGATATCCAAAAAAAAAAAAACATATATATGTGGTATATTCCAGTGGTATTATAACTGGAAAATACCACTTGAACATCTAAGTATAGATTTTTAGAAAAAAAAAATTTCAAAAAAATTAAAATCACAAGATTTTTTGGCATTTTTTGGTACGTGTAAAAATCGTTATTTTTTTGTTATAGTCATGTTATTCCTAACACATTTGCACAATTTAGAATCGCTTCACAATCATTAAAATTTCAAAAATATTAGCAGAATATAATTATGTACAAGAATAAAAAAAAAAAAATAGTCTCTAATTGTGCAATTTCATATTCAAATCATTATTTTTGTAACTAACAGACGGTAATCATTGTACAAATTTCATTTATATAAGAAAATAAAAGAAAACAATTTCCAAAATTAGGCCACGACTACTAAGGTTTGCAAAAACCCAGAAAATTTGTATTCCCGGGATTGTATCTTAATTCTAATTATAATGGACCGTTCCCTCTACAAAAAAAAACCGCAATGCATTTTGATTTTTGTAATCATCGAAAATAAACATATTATCAAAACATATTATCATATCAGCAATAAACAAAGTTGATAGCTATGAAATTAGTTTGGAGCATGATTCAAACCATATTTACAGTGCTGGCCAAAAAGATCCGACCACTAAGGTTTTTAGACAGAAACGTAATACCACTTCAATTTAATGATAATATGATTGAATTAAACGCAACAAACAACATTCACATAAGTCAGTGACACACTTTCGAAGAAACCAACAAGTAGTTCACATCAGAAAAGAGTTTCTAGTACCTCGAATGTCTTCCTCCGGCTTTGAGGACAGCTTCTATTCTTCGAGGCATAGAGGCAACAAGAGAGTCACAGTAATCAGGCGTTATTTTTTGGGACCACGCCTCCAGTATAGCCTCCTTCAAAGTTGTCGCAGACGTCGAGTTTGCTTTTGCCACTTCTGCTTTCAATTTTACCCAGCAATTTTCAATCGGGTTTAAATCCGGTGACGAGCCAGGCCACGGAGCAAGAACATTGATGGAATTCTCTTGAAACCATGTCTTGACGATCTTTGCCTGATGACATGGCGCGCCGTCATGCATAAAGATGTCACAGTTGCGAGTTCTGAGCCAAATAGGAACATTTTCCTTTATTATTTGCAAATAATTAACAGCTTTGATAGTTTCACCTGGCGGCATGAGATAGATTCCCGCTCGACCTCTGGCAGTATGTGGTACATCTCGGTCTGCCACTGGATCTTCCTGCAGCGCTGGTGCCTGTTGACTTGATGTGCTGAATGACGTCGTGAACAGTTGTCTTAGGCATTTGTAAACGTGCGGCAATCGCACGTTCAGACTTCCCGTCTTCCATCAAAAGTTGTATTTTAGCACGTTTTCCAGGTGATGTTGTCGCCATAGTCAAATGCAAATAGTAATTCACAGCTACGCATGCGATGGTATATATAACAATGGTACAACTGTTTTGATTGGCTGATAACTAGCCAATCACGCATGCAAAGCGTGATGGTGAAATTCCGAGGAAAGCGCCTACACTACAATGTACATACTGTATACATAGATAAACAATGCGTGGTCGGATCTTTTTGGCCAGCACTGTATATTGATCTGTTTTTTAAAAAACATTTTAATTGCTAATCAACAAGTATTTCGAGAAATATAGTCAATTTAATCAAATAGATGCTGAAGAAGTTGTATAGGAACAAATAAGCTCTTGATCAAGATATCTTTCTTTACTACCTAAAATAAACCAAGAAAAAATAGACAAAATACTTAATTATAGACGATAGTTTGATTGATTTCGGAGCTAGAGGTGCTTCAAAGCATAAAATCTCTGGGTATCAGCTATTTAAAGAGAACTTCGTTAAAAAAATTAGTTAATTAAAAAAAAAAAAATTAGGTAAAGCTACAGGCCTAAAATAATTTTATTTTTTCGCGAGGGTGGATTGCTACATCGACTATCTTATAGCCTGACTTTCAACGGAGTGCTGCTACATCGACTATTTTATAGCCTGCTGCTACAAGTAAGTGCTGCTACATCGACTGAGGGTTTGACATGGGGCAGCAATCTTTTTTCTTTTATTATTTCAATTAATATCCAATTGTTTATAATGCCTCTACAGGTATAGTGCTTTTAAAAAGACGACAAATTTAAATCGGCTTTAATTATTTTGGAATGCTTATGCTTAAATTTTTTTTTTTTAATTATTTTGTTTAAATCTGTAAAGTTTCTTCCTGATGGTTGAAAACTGTTTTTTTGAAAACAGTTTGCAAATTTTTACAAATGTTTTATTTGAACTTGAAATTTGTCTATTTTGGGCAAGGTGCCCTTAAAAAGACAATCTTGTTATTGTTGATATCTCCTTAACAATTAACTCAATTAGTGAAATATGTTGCATTGTATTATCTGCCTAGTATAAGTATCTTATAATAGAAAGAAATTTGGAAATATTTAATGATTTTTTAAAATAATGAGAAAAATCATGAAATTTTACTCAAATAATTTCGTAATAAGCATTAAGAAGCTTATTTTCGGAAGCTATAATATTTTATTTTTTTCTTCCCAATATATATCTTAAAGTTTGTTTTAAAAGATAGTAGTACTTCTTATAACAGTTCAATTTCTTTTAACAGCTTCTTGTTTTGAACAGCTTTAACACCTTCTTGTTTTGAAACTTTAACAGCTTCTTGTTTTGAAACTTTAACAGCCAATGATATATATTTTTAACAATGATATATATTTAAGTAACAATGATATATATTTAAGCCAATGATATATATTTAAGTTAATATATATCATTGTTAACAGCTTCTTGTTTTGAAACTTTAACAGCTTCTTGTTTTGAAACTTTAAAGTCTTAAAAATACAGTCATTACGGGTAACTTTGAACGGTTTGCGCTAGGTTTATCTCTAAAAAAATTGTTTTACTAACTAGATAACAAATATTTTTACATATAGGGTGTTCTGATGATCTCTATTTTCTAGTTTGTTATCATTTTTTTAAATTTGCTAGATATTATGTAAAAAAACAATGTTCAAGTAGGCGTTCAAAGTTACCCTCGCATTTCGGGTAACTTTGAACACTATTAAACTGAATGTCAATTTTAATCTTTTAAATCTAAGAAGTTGTTTAAATTTCCTTGTATTAGTTTAAATTAATTTTTTAAAAAATCTAGTTAAACTATTTCGAGAATAAATAAACAAGTTTTTCAATAAAATATTTCTAGAATAAACAAACAAGTTTTTCAATAAAATATTTCGAGAATAAACAAACAAGTTTTTCAATAAAATATTCACAAAATAATTTTTAAGGTTATAAAAGAAAAAATAATTAAGACATTATTTTTATATAATTCTCCGCAAATAAACACCATTGACTATAAAACTAAATATTATAGCGTTTCATTCTTTTAGTCTTGAGTAACAACTAACTCTTTTACAAAATAATCAAGATCAAGGAAAACATGTACATAGTGATTGTTTATTTGCTCCAATGAAAAAACTGCATCATTTTGAGATACAGGTAAAACTTGTTCATTGTCTTCAATAACTTGATTAACATTTACGATGCTTGAACTTTGTAAAATATTAAGTTTTTTGTTTATTTTCATAACCATATTATTTGATCCAAGTGGTCTTCCTCTTTTCTTTGCTCGAATATTAACTTGACTTTTTTTTTATTGTCTCTTTCCTTATAGTATGCTTCTACCTCAGTGGCTGATACACTTTTCCCCCTGCTGTTATTAGTAACTTAAATTTTTTGCTTACTTCATAATTAAGATGAATATTATCA